ATATATATATATATACATATAAACATATCTGCTTTTAAAGCAGATAGATGTGCTTATAGAAAAAGGAAGGTTTTTACTTTGTGTCTGTGTATAGCGCACACATGCGCGCGATTATCTGTATATAAACTGTATGAAATTATTAAACTATTCCATTCGTGAGATCGACATTTTTTTCTTTTCTTCTGGGCACTGTTAATAAAGAGGAATAAATTAATAATGTGTTACTTTCGGTTTTTAAAGCTTCATGTACAATCTCGCTATGTAATAAATACATATCTATAAAATTTTCTTTATCCTTTGCACTGTAATGTCCCTGTAGATTAACATTATCTAGGAATAGAGAGAATATAATGGAAAAAGAGTATTTAAAAGGGTTTTATAATTTAATACTTTAAATGTAAAAACGAAAACAGTCTTCATCTTGTCGCAGCGCAGCTGATCAAACTAAAGGAGGCAAGGGAAAACAAGGACGGATCTAGACATTACATGCGTGAACCCTTCTGCTGCAAAACCTAGAATGTAATCCAATAATCTAAACTTAATAAAATTGTATTAATCTCACTTCACTTATAGCTATAATACTTAATACTAATTACAAGATCTATTACGGCAAATTGAAGTTATACAGTTTTATTATCATATAAAAAAAAATTGTTCCGCCTCTGTTACATATTGTTGCCATAAACCAATAAAATAAGAAATACCAATACTAATCTAATTATAGCTATATACTTTGCTCCCCAAAAGCTACCTTTATCGAAAAGCAAACCCATATTTTATCGAAAAGCAAACCCATATTGCATTAGTATACACAATAATTTAATACTATTTTCTATATTGTATAAATAATCGTACATAAACTATTGATGGTAAAATATACACTGTGGACAATTCACTCTTATGTCGCATAAAGGATATATGAATAATTTGGCATGCAATAATGATTCATGCAGGTCATACGGGGCATAAAGTATATATATAACCACAAACCAATGAAAGAAAAAATTCTTTATTCAATGAACGGCATGCGGTACAATAATAATAATAATAATAATAATAAT